CCTCTCCTCTCCCTCTCCTCTCCCTCTCCGTGCCCTTAGAGCAGTCCCTGAGCCATCTCTGCCAGCGTGGGCATGCCTGCTGTGAAGGAAGCCAAACTGTACAGAAATGTCATCTCTGATGGCATTCAAGAGTCCTGACACAATTACAGAGCCTGGCCCCAGGGGAGAGCTTGCTGGGTGCTCACTCTAAGATCACAGCCCTGCACTGCCTTGTACAGCAAGGGCGTGCTGCCAGCAGGGCTGAGTGCTGCAAGGCAGAAAGCGCTGTGGGAGCCTCTGGGAGCAGAGCAAGGGAATATGTTGAGAGGAGAGGAAGGCAGAGAAAAGAAAGGCACTCAGAGGTAGGTGTATACTGAAGATTCATTCTCACCATCTTTTCCTGAAGGCTTTTATTAATTCTTTTAAATTCTACTGAAATTTAATACACATATGGGGAATACTCACATTTGTGCACTGACTAGGTGTGTTGCAAAAGGATGAGAAGTTGTTCCTTTTATTTCTTCATATAGATTTATTTTAAAAGCATTTGCTCACTCTACTTTAAATAGAAGGGTCCATTAGTATCACAGTGCCTGATGTCTATTAGAAACATAACTGTCTATTAGCACTGCATTACATGATGTATATATGTGGATGCATTTATAAAAGTGTGTGCTTGACTGTGAGTATCCATACAGATCTCCAAGCCTCTCTCTCAACAGTCTCACAATACACACTGCATCATTATAAAAATATTTTATATGTTTCTAGATAAAAGTTGTCATGTAAATCTAGGACTTTATTATTCCTCTTTAAAGTAAGCAATGTGAAATATATGTTTACATTTCAGAGATAAGCCTTGAAATCTGCAGAACTGAAGGGGGCAGGGGAGAAATTTCTCCTCCCAATTCTACCCTGCTTTGAAAGGTGTTACACACTTAAAACTCTTTCTAAGGTGTCATATTAATGACTGGTGATAGGAGTGCACACAGACACACATCTACAAAAGTCAATAGGCCCCATATCAAACAAGCCATGCTGTCCATAGCTAGTGTGAACTACATATTTAAAAAATGAGTGTCTATGGATCAGAAGAAATTTGCATTAAAATTTATTTTACCATCCCTAATTGCTGTAAAATCTACTTGTTTATATTCTCCAGCACAGCAGGATATCATTTGCTGTGATCCATTGGTACTGACTTGACCCTAACATGTTGGAAAAAACCCGTGGTTTGTGCAAGTAAGTAAATAAGAGATTTCTGCAGCAGCTGGAAGCTAACACCTGAAGCCATCTGAACTGCATGATTCTCTGTTACTTGTAGAACTGATTCCTCTCCTCACAGTGGAAATATGAACACTCAATATGCCTTGCACATCAAGTAATTTTCCAGTTTATCTTCTCTAACTGTTGCATCACATTTTTAATTTTCCTCTCTTTGTAATTTAGTCTAAATAAAGGCTCTGGTATTAAATTAATTTTATTTTGAGAAAAATAAGTCCTACAAAATCAGAGACACGGATTGCCCACTGTCTAATCAATTTCATAACTTTTTTTTTTGTTAGCCTACTCCTTGAATGAAATTATCATTTTCAGATTAGAGACATATTAGAGTCTAGGTTGTTAAGCCTGCTAAATCTTGTCTCATAGCAGGACTGAGTGGAATTTTCATAAATATATTTGGGTCTTTGACTTGTACTAATGCACAGTGTTTTTGTTTTGCTTTTTTTCCCCCCAGGTATTTTCCTGGGAGGTCCTTATGAATGATGCAAAGAAAGCAGCTTTTATGTGTTTTTCTTTTTATAATCTCTTTCTTCTGTAAGGAAAGACTACCTACAGCTGGACACAGCTGTGAGAACAAGTATTTACACCATACTGAGAACATAAAGCTGTCCCTATGGGACAGTTCTTTCCAAGGCTCCCGTGATGAGGAGACCTTGTAAGGTCCAGGAAGGCAGGCACAGAAACCATTAATGTGTGTGAAATTGCCAGGTAAAGCAGAGACATCAATCACTGCTCTATTTCTCATAAGGCTTCTCAGATGTGGGAACTCAGAAGCATCCCTTGATGTCTATGTGAATCTAAGCCATCATTGCTGATACAGAGCTACACACATGAATTATTATCAACACTATTTTATTTTCTGTAGAATGTAATAGCACTGAACTTATTTAGCTTATTGTCTCATATGGACTGTTCTTCTTTCTTAATTATGCAAGTTCATGACTGAGACCCAGTCTAAGGCATGAGGAAATCTGGTCTTAGGGCGAGGTCTACTCACTTTACAGAGAGATGATGATGAAAATTTTCTGGTAAGCAGGCCAGCTGAATGGCAAGAGAGCTTTATTCACAATATCATTAAAGTTGTAATTGTTCTGTAATTGATGATCTTTGGTCCTTGCAAAACTGAATGCAGGGAAAAAGAGCATCATGGGAGCACAGTGAATGGGCTCCATAAACACCGAGGAACTACATAAGTGGAAAAGCTTATAAAATGCTCCTGTAACTGTACAGGTTATGCCCAGGTGTTATTGAGCTTCAAAGAGAGATGGACTCATCTGGACAGTATCGCAGAGATTTTTTTGCAAGAAATTTTTGCATCATGTTTTAAATGAGAGTGGATTATCCGGTTTTTTTCTCTATAGCTAAATGTTTTTGTTCTCACTCCTTAAATATCTGAATTTTTCATAACCCTCCATGGATCTTACTCTCACTGCAGCTCAGAACTAGGACCTGTTACTATCTCCAATACTTTCTCCCTTGAAAAGCACAGTTTAAAAATCCCTGGCAACGTGCTTAATGCCCCCCAGTGACTCAGTGACCGAGTCAGGTGAATGATTCCTTACATGTATGCAGCATGTGTGTGACCTTTCCCCACACAACATGCTTGTGTCATGGACCGGGCTCATAGTTTTTTTGGTGTTTTTCTGGTTTTGTTTCAGCAAAGACACATTTTTGCCTTTGGGATTTTGCCACAGCTGCTGAGTGACGAGGAAAATAAACCCACCTGGCTGAGCTATTCACCAGCTTTTTTTTCTGCCTCTCTTTAATGTGGGGCAGCTGTGCTGCCTTATTCTCTGCAGCTGACTGTCCTTCTCTGCCCACCTTATAAAACATGGAAAAATCACCCTTCCCCTATCCAGCTGCCTGGCTGAGGAAATGCTTTAAAGGGCAAAATTGCAGCTCCTTCAAACAGTGATTCACAGAAGAACTTGAGCTTTGATTTATAATTAGAGCTCTGAAAACCTTTCATTGCAAAGCTGGTAAGAGCTAGGGAAAAAAGCTGTCCTCACCTGTTTTCTATCTCACTTCATTATGAATCTGGTTCATGTCAGTCCTCTGCCTCTGTATTTGCCAAGGTTTTGATGGTGCTGGTGTGAAACATTTTCAAAGGGAAATTTTAATGCAAAAGGAACAGGAAATATCCTCTTTCTCCATAATTTCAGGACAGGAATTTTTGTTTCCTTTGAAACTATTGGGATGCTGACTTTCTGTATGACTTTGAAATAGGGCAAGGCTTGTTCTTACTTTTGTCTCCTCCCCTCCTTTTCTCATTCCCTCTCTTGCAATAGTCACAAATGTTATTTCTTCATTTCACAACCCTGGTGACTTTGGGAGTTTCACACGGACACAGGCTGAATGAGAGTCTGCTCACAAGACTATCATCTGTGCTTTTGCTCATGAGATGCTCTTATGCAGAATGTGATTCTTCTACCCAAGCCAGGAAAGAAATCTCTTGCTGCTGTGAAAACACTTGAGTTCCTTCTTGGCTTTTCTCCCTTGAATGACAGAGTCCATCCAAAAGTAAAAGCCTACCTAAAAAAAAGGATACCTTACTTTTTGTTAATAAAAGGATGAACATAAGCCTTAAATGAATCTTTATACATCTTGATATTCATGTTTTTCTCTTCGTAGTCTGTGATACCTCCCTTCTTCCTCTTTTCCTTTTCTCTTGCTCTGTCCTCATGGTAGCCCTACCCCAAAATAGGTCTTAGCTCTTCAGTACGGCTCTTCTCTTTTGAAAAAAATAATCTCTTCTCAAATCTCACATAAAAAATGGTTGCAGAAACGTGTAATCTCTCAACATCCAGCGGTAGAAGCTGTGAAGAGAAACATGGATTTGAAAGGAAATGAATGTATTAGTTCTGTGCCAGTTTGAATCAGCAATGCTGCCTATGCCTACATGCCTATGCATAGATTGAAAGCTGTAAATCTTGCTTTCAATCCCTGAACCCCTGAATTTGTACTTGTAGCACAGACTGTATGTATGCCACACTTTGTATGTATGACACACTTTGCCAAACCTCTCCACAAGAGATGATTTTCTAGAGCCTGCACTGATCCTGTACCATGTGTCATGTACAATGCTGTGCTCAGCTAATCCTGTTGAGAAGGAAAAGTATTCTACACAACTAGTATAACTCTATCAAGTTTATTTTACTGCTTCTAGCAATTAGTTGTGAAGTTTTGGAGGCCAATATATGTGATTAATACACACATATAAAATGTATAATCTCTTCTGCTAGTAGTTGAATTTGTTTTTCCCTTTTTTTCCCAGTTATATTGTGTGGCCAGATGTCACGGGAAATATTCAGGTATGATAGGGTATTGCTTTAGTTTAGTACTTTGAGAAGCTTAAGAGGGCAGCAGTTTCTCATTTGCTCAGTCATATTCCATGGATCGTTATACTGGAATAATAAGAATGAGTGATGTGATTTTGATCATTTATCCAAGACCTCGTGGCACATGGAAACAAAATTTGCAAGTAAGTACTGTATTTTGAGTCAGTTTTTAGTATGCAGGTGACAAAAGAAACATTTTTCAATAGTTTAAATTAGAGATCGAGTAAAAATTAGCCAAAAAATCTTAGGTGCATATAAAACAGGACAACAAAAACAAGGAAAGAATGAGGAGGAAGATGCTTTCCTGTGAAGTCATCAAGCTGAAGTGGCACCTGCCTGTGGTCTACAGCTAAGATGCCATTACTGCTGTGTGAAGTTATCTTAAGACTCTGGACATCAGTGGTCAAATATTCCAAACCTGAAACTCAAATTTTAAGGGATAATACAGGGGTCAATTCTTTTCAGAACAGGAAAGTGGATTAAGCTGACAGTAGAGCAAACTTGTTGTGACTTCTAAGGCTCAGCAGGGAGGACAGAAGTGAGGAAGCATCCAGTAATTTTCAGAATATGGTGCAGGGCATGTCGCAAGGTCTGAGAACAATGATGGATCTGGAAGGAGGAGGAAGAGCAGGAGGAGGGTTTCTCTGTGCCCCTATCACCATGCACTGGACATGGCAGTGTTTGTTAGCCTTCCCTCAAAATCAGGGATGCAGGTTTCCAAGGGGTCAGCTGGGGACTCACAGTGTTGCTCCCTGGATGGAAACACTGAGCATGGCTTAATCAATCACATGACAGCCATATCAGGTTTATTAATTTGTTTACAAATGTGATCACTAGTGGATGAAGTAGAAGACAGTGATAAAGTAGACTTGATTAGCTGGGCATAAAATACATGCAAATAGACCATTAAAATATTAGTCTGGCTAAATGTGTGCAACATTTTTATAACATATCCGCTCTACATACAATGCAAATATCAGTGTCCATGCCTACAAAAGTAAAACAACATCAAATTTTCTGTTTGCCACATGGAATACTTCATAAATGTCCACAAGGATTTTGATTTGTGGTTTGTCTTCCCAGAAGCTGAAAATGAGGCCATGTCCCATAGCTGGAGTAAAAAAGGTGCTCTCTGTGAAAGCATCTGCCTCTGCTGTAGTTCTATTAGAGTCTCATGAATAGATTTTGAAGGTTGAAATTTGACTACCTAATTCTTCAAGAAAGATCTAAATGGGAAAGTTGTTTTGATAGTTTAGAAAGAAAGGAAAAAAGAGATGGGACTTTTCTGGAAGGCTGGAGCAGATTATCAGCAGTTTAATGGCCTCATCAATCATCATCACCATCATCATCATCACCATCACAAAAAACCTGCATCACCTCTTCACTCTACCTTCATATTGAATTACTGAAACAGCTCACTATATATTGAATATTATTTCTTCAACTTCTGATTTGACAGTCCTCATAATCTGCTATAGACCACATATTCTGAAGATATCCCACATCTTTTATAATAAGTAACCCTTTAGCATCCAGAAGTAAACAGTAAACTCCCTCTAAAACCCTTTAGATTGTTTACCTGACAACATCAAGAGATGAATGTAGAGTTAGGTTTCACAG